ATGAGCTATAATGAGCTATTCCATGTCAACACACGTTTCCCCTCCACTCCAGAAATTTTTGGTGTTTAGTAGTTCAGGCCAGTACGAAGAAAGCTGAAAGAGACCTACAAAAAAGAATTCTGCGCCATGTTAAACTCCCTCACAGTTACGAAATTCTTAGGGTTGCCGCTTAATGTGCTTACCCCTGCAGGCCTGTAATTTATTTCCCTAATAAAGTTCAAGGTTTTTAGTTTATTTTGCCATGAACTGCACTTTTAAATGCATATTGAATAATTTAATTCTGCTGCAAAACTTTTTAGATGCAATAGAAACAAGTTTTCAATTAAATATAAATGAAACGTATTTTGTAACTTTTAAAAAAAAACTCGCTTTGTGTAAAACTTTTTTTTCTGCAATATATTAAAATCTGGTGATAGCGTTTTTTTGGCTTCGAGACTTGCGAGCCGGAAACGAATGCAAAACTGAAAAGAACCAACTGTTTTTATAGTAATTCTACATATTTCATAATGGTGAAACCGTCCGGAACCGCTTCCAAAAGCCACAGAGAATGATTACAAAAATCTGATGTGCTTGAAACGTTGAAAATTTTTGACAAATAATGTATTTTACCTTAATAATATCAACAAATTATTGTTCAGCACAGTTTTAAAAAGTAATTTTCATCCCAGAGTTTCCTGTCTCTTGTATTTTAACCCGTCAAAATTATACAGCTAGTATACATTTTGGCTTCACGAAAAAGCCTGAGAACCTATCGGTTCAGCCTGCTAGCTGCTGAATTGAAGTCTTTGTTGAAGTTTTTACGTTTTGCTGTGTTGGAGAATTACAATACAAAATGTTAAAGAAAGAATAACAAGTCAAGCTCACGTACGCTAGTGCAGCCAAAATTTTGACTTGTACGCTACAAACATAATTTTGAGAGCTCAGGAACCACGACATACAAGGGACAGAAAACACTGGTATGAAAGTCACTTCTTGCAACTGTGCAGAATAATAATTTAAAATAATATTATTTTAGTAAAGTACAACTCTTGCGACAAATTTTCAGCGTTTAAAGCATATCGGATTTTTGTAGCAGCTCTCTGTGGCTTTCAGAAGTGGCTTAGACCAATTTCACCATTATAAAATATGTGGGATTATTGTAAAAACGCTGGGATTTTTAAGTTTCCTATACATTTTGTGCGTAACTACCGATGTCAAAAAAGCGCTATCACCAAATTTAGATACTTTGCAGAGCAAAAAACTCTCTATGATATATGTTTTTTTTTTCAAAAATTTAAGAGGAAGTTCTTTTTATTGTTTAACTGAGATCTTGTTTTCACTGTGTCTATAAAATTTTTTAACAGAATTAAATTATTTAATATGCATTTATAATTTCAGGCCTTAAAGAATCTGATAAATTGAAAATTGTTGAATGTTATTAAGGAGAGGCTAAGTTGCAACTCTACAAAAGTAATCATTTCATGCGGAAACCAGCAAATGTTGCAGCTTTCAAAGGGTAGAACTCGGTGGAAGATTTACTTTTGTAGTTTTTTTCCGAATTCCTGTATATTGGCCTAAACTCTAGTAAACAGTAGAATTTTGAAAAATTCTACGGTATGGCTAAGAAATAAAGTGGCGCTTGGTGTGGAATGGCCGATTTAAATATTTATTTATAAATAGGTCGTATATAAATGGGCCATTCCAGTCAAGTCGCACACTTTTGTCAGCCAGCCTCTTAGATTTTTTTGTTTCTCGCCTATTTGTAGCACTTGATATCGGATTGTGCAATCAAAAAAATTTAACCCAAAAAGTGCGCTGGAGACAAAGTTAGATAGTTCTTAATTGCGAAAAAAGACGCAATTTGTCACCAACACTTTTATAAAAATTTAAAACTATTAAATTAAGTTTACAAAGTATGGAGGTACAGGCTTCTAAAGTAAACGTAATGAAAAGGAACCTGGAAATTTTATTGCATTTTGACTGGATATACATTGTCAGAATAGTCAGTCTGCTTTTCTAAGCCTTCTCGGCAGTTTCTTCAATTTGAGACCAGATTCTAATGAACAGGAAAATTTAGAAAATTTTTTGACAATAACTAAAGACAAAAAAGTGGTATAGTACATGTTCATTCATTTACTTAGGTTGTGAACTTTAGTAAAATGTTTGATTTTTTCATTTAACTTTTTTTTATTTTGCAAGTTACTCTGGTCACAACCAAAACTTTAATAACTTGAAAAAAACGAAAAAAACCTTGTAAGAAGTTTGTTTTTTTTTTTTTGTAAACCATAAATGAATTAAGAAGTAATTTAGTGACCTATTGCAGAAAAGTTATGTTATCGAGTTGCGACTATCCTGTGAAACTAACAGTACTTTTGTGGTTATTATACAAAAGTAAAAATGATTTTTCTTCTTGTTGTTTTTACTGTTACTGAATTCGTTACTAAATTTTTATAATTTATCGGTGGCTCTACTATGCAGCAAAAATTGCTTTTCTCTCCTTTTATGGTAAAAGTGAAAAATATTTTCTCTAGTAATATAAGCAGTTGAATGATAAATAAAAATGCAACAGTTATAAATCCACGCTATATACAAAGCTGTTTGGTAACTTGCAGTGAACGACGAGATTCAAAGCATTTCTATTACGAATATTATTTGGAAGCGAATCCACCAGAAAATTACATTTTGTAAGTCCAATAAAGCTTGCGAGAAAATAGCATTTGTGATGAAGTTTTTGAAAAAATTTATTTGTTGATGTCCATCATTTAATCAGAAAGACACTAGCCTGAAGACTATTGAATTATAATTTGTTTAGTAATTACTACCGTTAGGGTATTTTTAGATACCTTGGTGATTGTAAAAGTCGTACGCTGACTATATATCGTCTTGAAGATGAAAGTCATAAACGAGAAAAAGGTCGTCGTGAGAAAGGTGATGAATTGCCGACCGAGTATCAGCATGAACACCGAGCACCAAGAAACAAATCATTTTTAAGAAAGTAAGAAAAACTGCAGTTTTTTGTTTGTTTGAGAAACAAAATAGTACTTCAGTAGATTTGCGATTGTTAGATTTTCCTAGGTTTTCCTCAGCAGATACATATTCGTAATCGTATCAACTTCTTACCAAAAATTTAAATTTCGTGACAGAAGGGAGACACGCCAGTTTTTATTGAACTTTAGTCATTAAAATATTGCATTGTGCTGAAGTAAGCAGAGAGTTAAGGCAGTTGCTTCAATTGCTTCAATTCACCATGTGCTTCAGACTGTGGAGAAATCGTGCTGGTTCTACTCATCAAATTGCATTGGCTCATTGTAGTCTGAACGAATGGCACCAAAATCCATTGTCCACTGTAGGAAACAGTTCGGTAGCAACATTCCGCATCTTGGTAGGCTTCGCTAGGCTTACGGTGTTTTGTTAAGTCAGTGTTTCCCAACTAAAGCAATATTGTCTTGTTAAAGGAGTCGAAAGAAACTGGCGCATTAAGGGAGATGAGGCGATGAAAAAGTTTTAGATATTTTTGAGCTACTGTTTCGTTTCTTAAGAATGAACAGTAGAAGGTTTTTAACTTGAGAGAATTACCAATCTTCAGACGACACGATGGACAATTTTACGACTTTTTATGCTCTTTTATGATAACATTTTATATCATTTTGTACTATCTTTGATTCCAAATAACACGGTTACGAGTTAAAAGTAGACGAAGATTACTGCGGTGATAGAAAATAAAAAATATTTAATTCAAAAAAAAAGCGATAAATCGAGAAAGTTTTGTATTAAGATTTAGCTATGTAAAAAGCAGTGAAAATAGATAAAAGTTAGTGTACCTTAAATTTTTATGTACTATGTGACTCTAGAAGCCAAAGAAAAGATTATTTGGAATCATGCATTGAACTCTCGGTAAATTTTAGCCAAAGCCGGATTTGATGACCAGTATTGCTGAAGTACCTGAGTCAGCAGCTATCAATGATGATTTTTATGAACTTACTGAGTGCATTGTGAAAACTGATGCCGAACTGGACTATGAGGCCAACTCTGTTAGGGTTTTCTCATATATTAATTGTTTATTAGATCTTTAAATTAGTGCAAATATTACTTGTGTATGTAAAAAATGTCAAGACTTGTCAAAATCAATTCTTACACTTATTCATTGTTTAAAAAGCTGATTTTTATTAAGCAGAACAAACTCTTTTGTATCTAAAGTGTGAAATATTTTTTAGATTGTATACAAGAAAACTTTTTAAGTTTATAAATATTAAAAGGAGATTTCATATTTAAAGGTATATTAGCTTAAAACTTAGTAAGGCACTTTTAGCCTAATTTTTATCGTTTCTCTTTATTTACGTATTTGTATCTTTTTTTCACAAAGAAAAGTGATGCTTCCCAACTGTTCCACCACATTTACAGTCTTAAATGAAATTTATAGCTAAATAGCAGGACCGTTTCAGAATTTTTCCGATTATGAATATGCTGGAGATTTGGCGGATGTTGGAGATGCGATTCTCGATCATATATTCAACTTCTGCTCACTTTCTCAGCTTTCTAAAAGAATACTGTAATATTTCATTTTTTTGTTTTTTTTTTTTTTATTCATTAGCTTGACTACTGGTAAGTTAATCACCTACATGACCACATTGTTCCAGCACTTACTATAAGTGCCTATAGCTTACATTTAAATAAAGTTATATTCTGACTTGCTCTTTTAGAATTTTAGCAGTTATGCTACGATGGGAGCATCCAACAATTCGCTTGAGCGATGGAGCAATCCCACACGCGATAACGCAACTTCGAGCCTGTTCAACATCTAAAACTGCAACTTGCAAAATTCCTGTGAAGATTTCATCATTCTGAAAATGCAAATTTAGTTTTAAGCTTTTGAAAATTTTCCTCAGACCACTCAGAAAGTATTTAAAGAAAAAGTTAGTTTCGCTGTAATAACTGGAAACAGCTTTTCAGTGCGAGATACTGTCAAATGTCGCTAATAAGTATGTGCGCAAAAAAGTAGTAACGTGCCAATCAACAAGTTTTTTTCCTCCTCTGTCTACAAATCTGCTTTCTCTTTTCAATAAATCTATTGAGTAGGTTTAAGATCTTGAACTTCTAAATAAAAAAAATATGTTAATTTAATAGTGGCAAAATACAGGCGGAAAATAAATTTTAGAAATGCGGTATTTCTTTGTGGGCTAGAAATATGGCAATCTTTTCCACATTTGTCACCGATTCATGTACTACGATCGGAGATTAAAGCAATGATTGAGGTTTTTTACAGCTGATTGATTGTAAAGCTTCATATTTACAAATTTAATCTTAAAAAAATAGTTTTTCAGTTTCCTTTTAGGCAAAAACAAATTTTTGATATAACACTTCAGGCCGACGTTGAAAAATGGTTGGAACAGTGTGATGCAGATCTTACCTTGGCTGTTCTATCTTTTAACGGTGCTATGAATCAGTTCAGCAAAGATTACATCGTTTATTTCAATCGTTTTGACATTTCTTATTGCGAAATAGTATTTAGTACTGCTGACTCTAAGGTAACGCATAACATCATTTAGTTGGCTTTTTGTTAACACTGTGATATTCGCAAATAAAGCTGGGCAGCTTATTATGTCAGTCTCAAAGCTTCTCTCTAGCTTTTATTGCTACCTCTGTCTTTCCTTTTTTTCCCTCCAATTAATGAGGTCGCTGACAGGAGGAAAGGATGCTGTGGGAGAACGAGAAGAACACGAAATCTAACAAATTAAAATTGGAATTTTTTTTTTTTTTGTAATACCTGTTGATTAAAAAACTCATGAACTTATTTGAATTTGACGGATGTTGCAGATGACTTTGTCTAGATGTAGTTGTCGGAGATGTGACATCTATGGTGGATGACTGGACTAATGTATTTTTACTTTGTAGTAAAAAGCCTACACGCTTGAATTAAGCACAGAATAATTTACTTTAAAGTACAGTGTCGTTTATTTTCGCAGCATCCTTAATAAATTACTAGCTTAAATTTTGACTACGCAAACACTCGAACGGGCTATTACTTCGTTTATTACCTGTGTTAAGTGTGCTGCATCTACCACTTAACTTTCGTATAATGCCTTCTATTTTCACTGCAACTCGTCGGCTTGGAATTAACACATTGTCAATGCGTTTGAGCCCCCTTTCCTTTTTTATAAAGATCGTATGGACACTAGGGTTACATTTCTGTAGATCAGCAAACCCCTTTGCAATTGCGGCTTTATCCATGTTCACTGAGATGAGAGTGGGCACTTACAAAAATTACCATTAGGCGGTGTAAAATTCGTTATATCACAGAGCAACTAGAATTAAAATTTCAAAGAAATTTACAAAAGTAACATTAAATACAGCATTTAGTTAAAATATCTCAACTATAAATTTGAAAAACTCTTCAAAATTGTATAATTATACTTGATATCGTTATCATTTTATAAGTTTGTAGATGACAAGAGTCGTCATATGATATCGACTCAGTTTGGAACGTTTTATTTCAGTTAAGCAAATGTGGCCAAATGACTGTCAGACGTATGCTGAAGCAGTTAGATAGTCACGATGACGAACAGCTTGTAGAATTCACTAAAGTTAGCATGAAGCTTTATGAAGCTTATAAAAATCTGGCTCGATTTGCTAAAGACACAAAGTTTGAATTAACTTTACTTTTTTTCTCTTTTTTTCAGTAATTTGTTGTATTTAAAAAAAAAACTTTTCTTTATTATTTTGACAAAATTGCTTTAGGATAGAAAACAAAGCGTTCCTTCTACACGAAAAGTGGTTTGAAGACTGCATAGTTTTTTGGACTTACGCGTGGAGGTTCGAATAGTATCGTAATTTTCTTCTGATATTTTTTGAACAGACGTTAGAACAATATTAAAAAGGAAAGATGGTTTTGGTTCAATAACATTTTATTTAATTTTATTAAGCATATTTTTTTGTTTTGCTGTTATCTGTATGATATTTTACTCGCGGTCATTAATGTAAAAGTACAGGTTAAAAATTTAAAGGATTCTATGCCGCCGATATACTTTACGTGCAATAGAAGAAGATATTAGGTCATGTGATGAGAAAGTACTTCCATCAGCTGTTAACTTTTTGGCCATTCATAAAGCCTTATGTGAAGATTTTGTACATCTGGATTTGTCCTCTCAAACTGCTGCTCTCATGTGCATACTTAAAATTGTTCTGGTATGCGGTTTTACTTCAGAAATTTAGTATAGGGTAATGAACTTAAGAACACGTGATGATTATTCTGTTTTTTAAAGTTTTATAACACAAAGTCCACTGCTCTGTTTATTTTTTGTCTAAGTGGCTTTTTAAGAAATATTTTTTACTGATAAGTAGATATATCTGAAACTATAAGATGATGAAAAAAAGACAAAACAAAAAGTAGATGTGGCGTTATAATACGTTTTTTCAATCAGTTTTAGGTAATTGCAGATGACCTAATAATTTATGCTAAACGAATGCAAACAGCAGCTAAACAGTTCGAACCTGCAAAGGTACTGTTTGTTTGTACTTTGCAAATATAAGCAAAAAATTTTTTGTCACCAATATTAAGCAGTTGAAAGAAGGTAGAAAATTAAATTGGTATTGTTATGCCATACTCATTTACACAACTCCGATTTAACAACCATTTCTTAAATAAATAGCGGTAGAAGAAAGCAGTAAGAGGAAAAAAATTGTTTAGTGTGCTTATCTGAATAGCCTTAAGTAGGAGTTTTTCAGATTTTGCTTGCTGCTAACAGTATCGAACATACTAAACATTTTGCATCAGTTCGTGCTGCGGAACTGCTTAATTTCTCTAAATTTCAGTCAGAACTGTCAAAATATGAAGCAGCTCAGGCATATTCTTCATTTGAAAGTATCATAAGCTCTGCCGTAAAAGTTCGTTCACAGTTCTTTTCACAACAGTGATTTCTTGCGGGTTGAAAAGATTCATGCTGATCTAATTTGCTAGTAACAAAGTAACAAAGACAATAAGCAATCATTACCGCACTTTTCAGCAGTGTGACAACCTATCAGAAGCGTTAATAAAAAAAGTTTGTCGAGAACGACGAGATTCTATTTCAAAATACTGCATTTCACTAACACAGTACAATTTCAAAGCCAAAAGAAACTTGGTACCTTTTAATTTGTGGGTTTTGGTATTTATATAAATTCCTGCTTGAAAAATATACATAGTACTATGCAACTAAATCTTTCATTTCCAAAGGCTGGTGCCTATACCAGTGGTAGTGTTCTGCTGATTGTTACAAAATTAACTTGTTTTTTTTTTTAGTTGATAGTTTCACCAATATAACACAGTAAATGTGCTAATTATTGAACGATTACTGATTTAAATAGAGTTTTCTTCGGTTTGTGCTATCAACGGAACGTGCTGAGCAGCTTTTGGCATATTTGGACGCTTTTTCATCACAGCTTGCTGAAGTACTATTTCCACGTTTAAATTTAATCGCTCACCGTCAACTACTGGATATCACTGAGAACGCAATAGCAGTGTCATTAGCGAGAGGCCAGTGCCCAGCATACTATAAACAAGTTGAGGTGAAGTAGTTTAAAATTTTTTTGTTCTCTACTTATTTATGTAGTTTCTTTCTCTACAAAATGTTCTCTACAAAAATTGTGTGAAGCAAAAACGGCTTTAATGGACAATACTCAGGTTGACTGTGACATAATTCGCCGAATTTTACAAATGAAGGCTTCTGACGCTTCCCCAAGACTCAGCAGATCACTTTATTTGAACTCTTTGACGACTAGAGAACTTATTTTACAGTACTACACCCAGCTGGCTGAACTTACAGAAAATTTTGAACCTAATTCTAACACTCCGACCCTGAAACTTGATATTGGTTACACCAGAACTGCAAATCAGCGCATCTCTATTTTTATACACAGTTTGTTGTTTAAATTTTATTGATTTAAATAACATTATTTTCAATATGTTTTAATGTCTAAAATAATTATTCAAAGAAATTTTTTTTAGTAATTAGTGCCACACATATCCCAATACTGGACACTTTATCGCATTCCTCAGATCCGTTTTGCCGTATCGAGTTGTTACCCAGATTTTCTTTTCCTTTACAGCAGTATCCGCCACAGTCTACGAAAACCCACAAACAGAATTTGAATCCTGTGTGGGACCAGTGGTTTCAAATGTCTGTCATTTCATTTTAACGTTTTTAGCATTTGTTTACTGAGATATGGAACAGTTTATTCAACGAAAATGACAACAAACAGAGGAAAAAAACAAACTTTGAAAAGTCTGTTTCGATCGAACATTCAAATAAAAGTGCGTTAAATACTTTATGCATATATCAGTTCCAAGATACAACGAATTTGTCGGTTGCAGTTCAACAACTGAAGAAGCATTTTTTATAAACGGTTCAGTTGTATGCATAACACTCCTGGATCACGATCTTCTAACATACAACGACTTGGCTGGACAAGCTTACATTCTTCTTTCAAAAATACCGCGAATTAAGACTGCACCAAAAAAGCGGCTCTCACAAGTAAATCTGCCATTAGTACTGCCACTTAGTGAGCAGTATCAGGACATTTTCCAGGTGTTTTTTACTTTTACACACTATTTTTTCTGCTTTGTATCAAATAAACTAGAAACTTTTTATTGTATCGGCGAACAATAAAACGAAAAGTTTATTTACTTTTGCTAAATGCTAACACATTCCAGGACTTTATAATACGACTCATTTTCATAAACCTTTCAGATTTTGATAGACAGAAGTCCTAAAGATGCGCTTGCCAAGGAAGTTTCAGAATACGAAAAATATCTTCGAGATTATAGAATGTTGCCACCGTCAGCAGATATCAGCCGTAGCGAACCGATTTTTAAAAGACAAAAGTTCAAAAAGCACAAATGGAATCTAATAGTGTAGTTTTTGACAGGAAACTATGTTAAATCAGTGTACGTTTACACGGATTTTTGTTAATGACGCATAATTACCAAGTTTATTGGCTTACTTTTCAGTAACCGTTCATTCTCACAGGCTTTCTCTTGCTACGGGTGCTGTCCCGTATCTGTATGCTTGTGTTTCTGCTCCACTTTTTCTTTCGGTCTTAAAAACCTCATTTGTTTTTTACGAACCTCTGGCGTCTTCCGCTTAGCTTGTCTTGGAGGTTGTACTGAGTTGTAGAAATATTTTACGAAATGGTCAAAGAGAGTCTTGAGCCTACTTTGGTGTCCTACTCTGATTTTTTTCTTGAGAAAATATTTGATGTTAGGTAATTGCGCTCTTCGCTTTTATCTATTTCAAATAAGGAAATACGCTAATAAACGATAATAATCGAAGCTTTGGTGAAGCGCTCTGCTAAGACGAAAGAGGATGATGCATTGAAAAAAGTTAAATAACTGTTAGTCCAGATTATTGTTTATTGTTTTATGCGGCTTTTTTAACAGAAGATAAGCAATTGATATCAGTGTTACAAGCTTTCAAATATTGTCTGTGCTTGGCAGATAGGTATTTTCAAGTTTTTTTTTAATAATACCGCTTGATATTTGTTTTATCTACTTGCTATTGATGGTTAGGATGTTTCACTGCATAAACGAGAGAATAAGGAAGAAGTAACTACCGGCATAAGTAATAAATGACAGGAACAAAAGCTACATGAATAATATTAATCATAATATTTATTGATGGCTTTAAATGCTGAATGATTAATTTTCACATTCGTATTGGCAATAACATGCGCATAAATCCTTGTCGCTTTCTCAACTGGAGGGAAGTTTCATAAAGTTGATTTTAAAAGTAGTATACATCAAATAAATATTTTACTGGACAAGAAAGAGACAAAAAAAATGAAAAGTATCGATTTAAAGTGATTCAACGAGGTTTTCTAAAAAAGTTCTCCTAGTTTTTCCCAAACAGTTCACCACTAAACACAGCAGGAAAAGTCATTTGGCAAAAAGACTTTTATTAAAACAGTAGACAGTTCTTCCTAATAAACTTTAAAAAGTTTTTAAATTGGAAATGACCAAAAAAAAAAAAGAAGAAGCAAGAAACAAAAGCAAAATAGAAGAAATTAAACGAGAAGCTCTGTGTAGGTTTAGATTTTGTGGTGATTTAAGAAAGAAAAAAACAGTAATGAAGAAAAATCAGACAAAAAATTTTGAAACTAAATCTTTTAGTGCGTTGACAAAAAAGTGATATAAAAGATTACTGCTCTTCTTGCCGAGCAGAAAGCATAAGTAATCAAAAGCGGCAAAGGAATGGATATTCAGTTCAGAATAGAAAAAGCAGCACTGATGTTTTGTCAGGGGGGATTCGTTGTTTTTGCTTGATGAATGACTCCGAAATCGCATCGAATTTAGAGACAAAATTAGCGAAGAAGACTCAGAAGAAGATTTTACAAAAGAAAAACAAACTTTTTCTCAAAAAAAGAGAAAAAAAGAGCCAATTACTAATAATATCTTTTGGTATGAGCATCAAAGATTGTTGGACGTGATTTCCATCTAATATTGAATTATTTGTACTGATGACTCTTGCAGACGGACAGTGGTGTAACCAGCAGACAAATTTTATCATCCATCCAAAACAGCTTTTAATTCAATTTTTGTTCGCTTATATTCATCGTTTTATACCACCCTCCTCAGTTGATCGGCATTGGTTACTTGTAACATTTTTTAGTTGTTTACTGTTATTTTGTTGTCTTTTTTTCAGTTTTTTTATTTTACCTATCTGCTCACAGGAGTATACTCCAATTAAAAATAGAAAAAATAAATTTATATTTGTACCAAATTTAAAAAGCAACTAAGAAATCACTAACTCATTCGTACTAATGTACAACAAAATATTTTAAACTATAAGCTGTGAAAACCAATTTATGATTACTGCATCATCTTTCACTCTTTTAATATTATGCATACTTTGTCTAAAAAAAAAAAAAGTTAAAAGTAAGATTTAGATAAATACTTGAAACTTTTTTTACTTTAAACTTGACCACAAAATTAATTTTTTTAAAAAATATTATTTAACTCAAAAAAAGAGGAAGTAACATTATTCGATTGGCAGTTTATGCGTAGGATTTTACAATTTTCTACACATTCGTTGAATAGCTCTACTGTTGACTAATTTCAGAATTTTTCTAAAATCTCAAAGAGAACGATGACACTTTAGATGTACAGGTTAACATATACAGGTTAACAGAGCGTCCAAAAAAACTTTTACCTTTGCTATAAATTCTTCTCTTGCCGTCCCTTTTCCAATCTAGCATTGTAGTTGTATAGAATTCTATTTGGGGTTTTTTGCACAAATCTTGCTTTAAAAGGAAAAGCATTTCAGTAAACTGTAGGAAAAAAAATAAGTGTTGATTGGGCTGGTGCTAAAGACAGATTTAAATTTCAAAACTTACTTGAAAAAACTGTTACTACTTAGCAAGTACTCTTCAAAATTTAAAAGATTTGTCATTTAAAACTCTAGTCATAATCACTGCATTTCTTCTGATAACCATCTTGTTTTAAAACCAGCCACAAATTTGAATTTGAATCTATCGAATTTCAATACAAACGCATGGTAAATAGGAGACATCAATGGCGGCAACAAGTATTTATTTAGGCAAATGAAAAAATTCCAAACTTAACTTCATACTTGCAAACCGCGGCTGCTTTAGAAGAAGCTGAAGTGCTAAATCTTTTTTCTGGCTCACTATTACAGTTCCACTTGAGTTACAGCCCTTGATTAAATTGGTCCCCATTTTAAAAAGATTGACTTTGCAGGAAAATGTCATACTTCTTTGTCAAAATGAGGGACAAGACTAACCAAAAAAGTTTCAACTCGATGAAGCGATCACAGCAGAAACGGATTCAAATGTTCTATACTTTCTAAGAGAGATACACAAAGTTAGACTCTATCACCATGCTGAATTAAATTTCTACTAAAAAATTAGACACACAAAACTTGACAAAAACACTTGAGATAGCTTATAAAATGAACAAACAAACAACTTCTTCTTGAAAATATCCGTTAGGAAATTTAGAATAAACCTGAACGAGCACACGCTCTTCGCAAAAAATGACAGAACCTTCTATCAGAAATTTCGCTGATCACAGTTGATCTCCAATCATTTCTGGAATGTATATAACATAAGGAAGGGAGCACCCGGATTTGAACCAGGGACCTATCGATCTGCAGACGAATGCTCTGCACTGGCCTATGCCCCCGAGCTCACAACAGCTGTTGCATCCTTTCTCCGCCAAACGAGCATCATCACCATCAGAACCATTCTAGCAGATACTAATGCTAGAACTTTTAGAGACTTCGAGATACATGGAACTAAGAAAAACAAGATAAGGCAGTTTCTAGAAATAACATACAAAGCTCTAATATTTCAAAACATGCGCCCCTTATGAAAATCCTCTCTAATAAGCACTCACTCCTGCTGCAAAATGACAAAGAGCGCGGCGAAAGACCTCACCTCTAACCTATCCTAAAACGCGATTAACAACAGGAAGCGAGCACCCGGACTTGAACTGGCGACCTCTCAATTTCCAGTCAAATCCCCTGCCACTGAGCTATACCTCCAACGTTGACAACAGCTCTTGCGTGCTTTCTCCGTGAAACGATCATCATCATCATCAGAATCATTTTCATTGGTACTAAAGAAAGAAGGAATATAGACTCTGAGATATAAAGAAACTGAGAAAGAAGACTTAAGGTAGTTTGCAAACAGACCAAACACACGTCTTCTACTTGAAAAAACGCACCAAGCATGAGTATCATCTCGGCTCAGCAGGCGCATATACTGAAGCGAGAGGTTTCGCTGGAGAGGAATAATCACTGATTCTTTCTGATACTCGCGAAACATAAGAAAGGGAGCACCCGCATATGAAACGGGGACCTCTCGATCTGCAGTCGAATACCCTGCCACTGACCTATAACCCCGACGGCAACAACAGCTCTTCCATCGTGTGTCCGCCAGACGACCATCATCATCACCAGAATCATTTCCGGTGATATAAATCGGACAACGAACAGCCACTCTGAGGTACAAAGAATTGAGAAAGAAGACTTGATGCAGTTTGCAGAAAAAAAAACACACCTCTCCCTATTCAATATATGCAACAACCATGAGGATCATCTCGATTGAACAGATACTCATGCTGCGGCGAGACATTTCCTAAAGAAGGGTGATCTCTGATTTTTTCTGCTACTCGCCATACGTAAAAAAGGAAGCACCCGGATTTCAACCGGAGAACTCTCGATCTGCAGTCGAATGCTCTTGCTACTGAGCTATGCCCCCGACGCTGACAACAGCTCTCGGATCCTTTCTCTGCCAGTCGACTATTATCACCGTCGGAATCATTCCTTTTGATACCAATCAT